TACCTTGTATAGACAGTACACATTACCTTATCTAGATAATATCCATCACTTTATGAAGACAGTACACATTACCTTATCTAGACAGTACAGATAATCTTGTATAGACAGAACCCGTCACCTTATCTAGACAGTACCCGTTACCTTATCTAGACAGTACTTATTACCTTATCTAGACAGTACCCATTACTTTATCTAGACAGTACAATCACTTTATCTAGACAGTACCCCTTATTACCTTATTATCTAGACAGTACCCGTTAATTTATCTAGACAGTACCCGTTACATTATCTAGACAGTACCCATCACTTTATCTAAACAGTACCCGTTACCTTATCTAGACAGTACCCGTTACCTAATCTAGACAGTATCCATCACTTTATCTAGACAATAACCGTTACCTTATCTAGACAGTACCCATTACCTTATCTAGACAGTATCCATCACTTTATCTAGATAGTATATGTTACCTTATCTAGACAGTACCCATTACATTATCTAGACAGTACCCGTTACCTTATCTAGACAGTACCCGTTAACTTATCTAGACACTACCCATAACCTTATCTAGACAGTACCCATAACCTTATCTAGACAGTACCTGTTACCTTATCTAGACAGTACCTGTTATCTTATCTAGACAGTACCCATTACTTGATCTAGACAGTACCCGTTACCTTATCTAGACAGTACCCATTACCTTATCTAGACAGTACCCATTACCTTATCTAGACAGTACCCGTTACCTTATCTAGACAGTACCCATAACCTTATCTAGACAGTACCCGGTACCTTATCTAGACAGTACCCGTTACCTTGTCTAGACAGTACCCGTTACCTTATCTAGACAGTACCTATAACCTTATCTAGACAGTACCCGTCACTTTATCTAGACAGTACCCGTTACCTTATCTAGACAACACCAATAACCTTATCTAGAGTGTACACGTCACCTTATCTAGAAGGTATCTGTTAACTTATCTAGACAGTACCCATTATCTTATCTAGACAGTACCCATTACTTGATCTAGACAGTACCCGTTACCTTATCTAGACAGTACCCTTTACCCTGTCTAGACAGTACCCGTTTCCCTGTCTCGACAGTACCCGTAACCTTATCAAGGCAGTACCCATTACTTTTTTGTAGACAGTACCCTTCACCCTGTCTAGAAAGTATCCATTACTTTATTTAGATAGTACCCGTTACCCTGTCTAGACAGTACCCGTTATCTTGTTTGCTCACTCAATGAAACGATAACGGATACACTGATAACGAAGAGAAGTACATGACGCAATCTGAAACTTTACATGAATAATTTGAACGATATTGATCGAACCAGCAATTAGATAAGCCCGAGTCCCTGAAGGATTGGCGTCAGACGGATAGCAAACAATGGTGACGACAACTAACAACTACAAAGCCTGTTACAACAAACAGTGAACGAATGCAGACATATTCATCTACATCAACTGATTACATAATTTGTCTCCACAGGACACAAAATGAAATTTTAAAATAGTATTTTGTATTTTTTTCTTTTTCTGCGGTCTATTTCAGGTTTCCTGATTTTCCACCAATCACTGACCTGGATAGATGGGCCATTAGGTGATGGAAAAATTAGGTTCTAAAAGATAAGGTAACCATGACAGTTTCACGCCATGTAACAAATTAGTATCTCTATTTACAGGAATATACTAAACAACACAGTTAGTACTAATTATCGCTTAATGAACACGAGGAGATGACGTATCCACCTGTCACTCACGCGATGTAATCGTTTGATAAGTAAATAAATCCTTGAAACGAAACACGAAACCTCATTTTTAGCCGATCAGATATCACTCTGAATCAGGTATCTATGTTGCTTCATTTCACTTGGCTGTCTGACGTCATATTAGGAGATCTTTTGTTACTATAAATATGATTATGAATAATGATTGTTTTGAAATATCAAATGCAGTCATCTGAAACGAAACTCAAACATATCATTTAACTTATCCTACAATTCATAAAAGCATAAAAAGTCGATGAGATATTGATGTTAACACGCGTTTCACTATTCACCGTGATGCCCAGAGCCAGGTTACTTTGACAGATTGGCCCGCGAATTTGCGTCAATGAGAAGTTTCGCTTTAAAAGACGGTATTCAGGGTGATGAGAAATTCTAGGCATTTTCTAACTTAAACGTTTCTTTGACAATGGAATACAATACCATACAATTACGGTTAAACCTTCCTTCAATACCTAATAACTTGATGAAGCAGTTTTCCTAACCATAAGCATGTCCCGTCTATTGCCGATATGTTATTCATACACTCTCGTCGTTTTCACTTTCTATATATCCATAAATGGAAATATTATATTATAGATCCACGAGGAGAAGGAAACTGACGGCGTTCTTGAACTATCGGCATTCATCCTTCAAATGACTTGCTGGGTAGATGCATGGATAATGGAGCAAAATGTCACGAATTAGTAAAGTACGTGTACAGCAGGTATACATCCGCTTCACATCATTTACATGGTTTCACTTTAATAATCAAGTGTGACAACCAAGTTGATCAAAGAAATCTTCGTCTTTATTCTTGTTTTTTTTATTGTACCCAGGGTTAAGTGCATTGCCCGTACAACGTCAGATGACATCTTTTATAGAACAAAAGTAATTTATAGTTAACGACTTGCACTATATCAGATCAGTTTCATTTATGATCATTTTAATATTAATCTTGACAACATCAAGTCTATTCCCACATGTTTATGAAGTTTTTGATGTTCTGATGGCAATGTCAGTTAAAGTTTATGTAAAATGTTGGCCACTTCCTGTAACGACAGATTTTATTTCAAAACATTAGAAACCCAGTTTTTATTCTAATGCAAGATTTCATGTAGAGAAAATGTTTTGTTTTCCATTTCCGGTAACAGAATAACTCGTCACAGGAGATATTGACAAAATGTATTGTTTTAACAGAAATGCGACACCTGAATTGACTGGGGGAAAAAACCCCACTAACGTCCTTTGTGCCTACTAAACCTTATTACTTACTCCTGTTCTGAAAAACAAATTTTATCACTTTCGTTTTGGAAAACATCACTACTTTCGTTTTGGTTAAACACTACTTCAGTTCTGAAAGGGCTTGCTATTGATTACTTCTCAGGTCAGACGCATACAAACTTGATTTCGGCACAATATAAACGATCCTCTCATTTCCTGCTGTGGTGTTGAAGACACTTAATAACTCAATGACCTGCACCATGTTATCACCACTAGCTATTTCTTTTTGTCTTCTTTAGTGATTTCTCAATAACTTTTAAAGAGATGCTTTGATTATCTGAAAACACGTACGAACTGTTCTTTCGTGTCAACTGCCAAAGTTTTATTTCATAAGGCACAAACAAGAGTACAGAAAATGAAATAATAGAATTATTCGATGCTAGATACAGGATCCTCAGCCTCGTCTTTAAGATTCTGGAAATGGCGGAGTTAGGTACTTTTTTATCTATTCAAATATCTTTTGGAGGACTGGTCGGACCTTGATAGAATTTGATTGGTACACTTGTTACCTAAATTCCCTGCCTAAGTTCGATTAACGGCACATTTAATGAGACTGCTGTAACCTGATTGGCACTCTTTTTGAAGGAACAAATTGTTATACTTGAGTGCTAATATAATCATTGATTGATCCATCATCACTGAAATTAAGTGACAAATATTCTATCATCACCATTGAGTAAAAGAAGGGAATATAAAGGTATGAAAATGATTTTAATATTCACAGTATTATGTTGCTCACTTTGAATGTATATATTTTATAAATGAACATGGGAGGGGGATCTTGATGACTATGTCATTGTTTAATTCATTTGTAATACTGAAAAGACTGAATCACTACTCTTTTCTAGGCAAATGTTCACACTGCCATGTTATCCTATATAATGACTCAGGCATAATTTCATTGGCATTTGCATCAAAATATCCATTTGAAAAAAACACTTTAAACAACAGATAAACTCCTCGCGTAAACAGATTGTATCCGACTATTTATCAATTATTCTACTGATAATTATCCTCTTCGACACAATGTACTTTTTGATCATCTAGTTAGTATTCATTAATATATCATCAGTTTTTTCCCCAAAATCATTTCTCAATGTAACATCCTGTCTGTTTCTATTAACGACATCCAGAATAAGGTATTTTTCTACAACCATATATTGATGTATATCACCAGACATCTTTTTAATATCGTGGAAACATAAAGGTAAATATAATTCTTTGTTAGCAAAGGTACTCTACTAGTAATTTGAATTCAGATTTAAGTAGTTTCCACTTAAGTAATTGCCTGTAATTGTAGCCATCCCCAAGACAATTTTTTTCATTTCTTCCTTCTCACTATTCAGAGACATTTCCTCCTAAACTCCATTTCCGTTCTTATTCTTAACGTGTAAGCATTCCCTGAAGGTCTTCATACACCTAATGCAGACATGAATATATATGTATCTATGTTAGATAAGATATTCATTGTCGATATCGGACGTCTCTTTTATGTCAATTCCTTTTCTCATTCATTCAGTCAACAAATATTGACTCAAGGTATGCTAGTCCATTTTTTATGGACCAAGCCCAGGATTTTGAGGGCAAATGGAGATTTGTGTTTGTGCCTGCCTCCACATAAAGAGACATTCGTAATAACTATTGATACATATATAAAGCTGTTTTTTTTACATTAATGATACTAGTGTAAATTTTTCCTTTTTAGTTATTTCTATATTTATAACTATGTAATCGATTCTCATGTTCAGTCTCAGTGCTATCTGATATCATTCTATAATTTACTTATTAATATGTATGTATATTGTTTGTAATTGTATGGAGAAGACTTTCATGGGATAGTCCTGTTGCCTTATTCCTTTTTGTCATCAAGAGTTGGACAATTAAAAAATTTGACATGGATTCTAGAAAACCGAATACAAAGAAACAACGCGTTTAAAATAATATCTTACCCTTTCTCCATTTCTCTCTGGTACTCCACTGGCTACCATGTAGGCATCTCCGATCGTTTCCACCTTGTATACATCATAAGTATCAATTCTGATGTCAAACGTCGAATACAAACTATTCAGCAATTCCACAACCTGAAAAAAAATATATGAAATACAATCACTTAACACTGATATCTGAATTGTTTGCCATGAACCCTTCACTAAGTGGTAAACAATATTTATCTGCTGACTATCCACCTCTCTTAAATGATTTTAAGAATAATGATTTTCAATTTCTGTATTGTGAATTTTCCGTTTTTGGCTAGGCATATATCTGATTCCCCAACGATGGTGTTTACACGCCGCCGGTGTTTCAACATATCAAGGGCTTATTGAGAATATCACTCTTTTTGTGCAAGATGTCGACAACTGCCAATTAGACTAACAACTCTGAGTTTCGAGAGTAACAGGTTGATGAAGATTATGGGGAAGTTTTATGGTTGTCAAAACGATCTTATTTTGATTGTTTATGCTGTCTGAAGCTGAGTGTGATGCTTAGTAGTATCCCTGGTGGTTCAAAGTGACACTACTTAAATGCACTTGTATTGTCCAATATTTATATGGTTTGTGTCGGCGAGGAGGCAAAAGACGCTTATCCTCTCCTAACACCTAGTGTGCTTTTTAAAGAATTCTCTGTGTTAATTGTTATTTTCTTCGTTTTATGTACTCGTTTCGTAGAATTTTAGTATGCATTCAGATACTGTTGACATATCACAATTTTCTTTGTTATCTCTTTATAGCAAAGGCTAACACACATTTGTAAATGAGTATTAAACTTCCTGTACTTAACAAACTAATGTCTATTCATTTCGATGTTTCTGTCTTTTGATATTTACAATGAGTTCGCTGTAAGAACGAGTTTTTTAATTGCTAGTAGATTGGGACCAGATGGATGTCATGACGGCGGGGCAGCACTATGGTACAAGAGGATATTTCGAGTGCTTCCTCATCCATCAACACTATATATATGACCTTAACACACCATATCACAATATCAAACATTTGTGTATCATTTTTTTTATTTCCTTGCCGATCTTTATCATTACATACAACTTTAAATATTCGCAATATCACTTTCTGCTCTTTCGTACACCTCACAACACAGAATTATTACTACCTGCTCTATCGTACACTTCCCAGCACAGAAACATATTACTACCTGCTCTATCATACACTTCACTGTATAAAAACATATTTACTACCTGCTCTATTATACACCACAAAAAACCCCATATTACTACCTGCTCTATCCTAAACCTCACAACACCAAAAAACATACTACTGCTTGCTCTCATCGTACACCTCACAACACAGACACATATTACTACCTGCTCTATCCTCAACCTCACAACACAGAAACATATTACTTCTTGCTCTATCGTACACCTCAAGACAGAAAAACATGTCACTTCCTGCTCTCATCGAAAACCTTACAGTACAAAAAAATATTACTACCTGCTCTATCGTACACCTCACGGTAGAAAAACATTAATACCTTCTCTAGCGTACACTTCACAGTACAAATACATATTACTACCTGTTCTATCGTACACTTCACAGTACAAATACATATTACTACCTGTTCTATCGTACACTTCACAGTACAAATACATATTACTACCTGTTCTATCGTACACTTCACAGTACAAATACATATTACTACCTTGTTTATCGTACATCTCACAGTACAAATACATATTACTACCTGCTCTATCGAACACCTCACACCACAAAAACATATTATTACCTGCTCTATCGTACACTTCACAACACAGAAATATTACTAATTGCTCTATCGTACAGCTCACAATACAAAAACATATTACTACCTGCTCTATCGAATACCTCACAGTATAAAAACATATTACTTCTTACTCTATCGTACATCACAACACAGGAACATATTACTGCCTGCTCTATCGTACACCTCACAGCACAAAAGCATATTAATACCTGCTCTAATATACACCTCACACCAAAAAAACATATTACTACCTGCTCTATCCTACACCTCACAACACAAAAAAACCCCCATACTACTGCTTTCTCTCATCGTAAACCTCACAACACAGAAACACATCATTACCTGCTCTATCATACATCTCACAGTACAAAAACATATTACTACCTGCTCTTTCGTACACCTTACAACACAAAAAAACCCATACTACTGCTTTCTCTCATCGTAAACCTCACAACACAGAAACATATCACTACCTGCTCTATCATACATCTCACAGTACAAAAACATATCACTACCTGCTCTATCGTACAGCTCACAATACAAAAACATATTACTACCTGCTCTATCGAATACCTCACAGTATAAAAACATATTACTTCTTACTCTATCGTACATCACAACACAGGAACATAATACTGCCTGCTCTATCGTACACCTCACAGCACAAAAGCATATTAATACCTGCTCTAATATACACCTCACACCAAAAAAACATATTACTACCTGCTCTATCCTATACCTCACAACACAAAAAACCCATAGAACTGCTTTCTCTCATCGTAAACCTCACAACACAGAAACATATCACTACCTGCTCTATCATACATCCCACAGTACAAAAACATATTACTACCTGCTCTATGGTACACCTCACAAAACAGGAACATATTACTACCTGTTCTATCATACACCTAACAAAAAAAAAACCATATTACTACCTGCTCTATCGTACAGCTATCAGTACAAAAACATATTAATACCTGCTCTATCAAACACCTCAAAACACGGGAACATATTACTACCTGTTCTATCGTACACCTAACAGTACGAAAACGTATTAATACCTGCTCTATCATACACCTAAAATTACAAAGACACATAGGTACCGGCTCTATCGTACACCTCACAGTAAAAAACATATTACTACCTCCTCTGTCGTACACCTCAGGTATCAAAACATATTATCACCTGTTTTGTCGTACACATCACAGTACAAAAACGTATTACTATCTGCTCTATCGTATACTTCACATTACAAAGACATATTACTACCAGCTCTATCATACACCTCAGAGTACAAAAAATATTACTACCTGCTCTATCTTACACATCACAGTACAAAGACATATCACTACCTGTTCTACCGTACACCTCACAATTCAAAGACATATTACTACCTGCTCTATCGTACATCTCACAGCACAGAAAGATATTACTACCTTCTGTATAGTACACCTCACAGTATAAAGACATATTACTACCTGTTCTATCGTACACCTCACAACACAGAATTATTACTACCTGCTCTATCGTACACTTCCCAGCACAGAAACATGTTACTACCTGCTCTTTCATACACTGCACAGTATAAAAGCATATTTACTACCTGTTCTATCGTAAATCACAAAACAGGAACATATTACTACCTGCTCTATCGTATACCTCACAGTACATATTACTACCTGCTCTATCGTACATCACAACACAGGTACATGTTACTGCCTGCTCTATCGTACACCTCACAGTAAAGAAACATATTACTTCCTGCTGTATCGTACACCTCACGACAGAAAAACATATTACTACCTGCTCTTATCGGAAACCTTACAGTACAAAAACATATTACTACCTGCCGTATCGTACACCTTAAAACACGGCTATATATCACTACCTGCTCTATCATACAACTCGGAACAAAAAACATATTACTGCCTCCTCTCATCGAAAACCAAACCACAAAGAAACATATTACTACCTGTTCTATCGTACTCCTCACAGTACAAAAACATATTACTACCTTCTCTATCATACATCTCATAGTATAAATACATATTACTACATATTCTATCCTACACCTCGCAACAAAAAAATCCATATTACTACCTGCTCTATCGTACATCTCACAGTACAAAACCATATTAATACCTGCTCTATCGTACATCTCACAGCACAGAAAGATATTACTACCTTCTGTATAGTACACCTCACAGTACAAAGACATATTACTACCTGTTCTATCGTACACCTAACAGTACGAAAACGTATTAATACCTGCTCTATCATACACCTAAAATTACAAAGACACATAGGTACCGGCTCTATCGTACACCTCACAGTAAAAAAACATATTACTACCTCCTCTGTCGTACACCTCAGGTATCAAAACATATTATCACCTGTTTTGTCGTACACATCACAGTACAAAAACGTATTACTATCTGCTCTATCGTATACTTCACATTACAAAGACATATTACTACCAGCTCTATCGTACACCTCAGAGTACAAAAAATATTACTACCTGCTCTATCTTACACATCACAGTACAAAGACATATCACTACCTGTTCTACCGTACACCTCACAATTCAAAGACATATTACTACCTGCTCTATCGTACACCTCACAATACAAAAACATATTACTACCTGCTCTATCATACACCTCACCACACCAAAAAACATACTACTGCTTGCTCTTCTCGTAAACCAAACAACACAGAAACAAATTACTACCTGCTCTATCGTACATCTCACAGAAAGATATTACTACCTGCTCTATCGTAAACCTCACACTACAAAAATATATTACTACCTGCTCTATCATACACCTCACAGTACAAAAACATATTACTACCTGTTCTATCGTAAATCACAAAACAGGAACATATTACTACCTGCTCTATCGTACACCTCACACCACAAAAACATTACTACCTGCTCTATCGTACACTTCACAACACAGAAATATTACTCCCTGCTCTATCATACACCTCACAGTACAAAAACATATTACCACATGCTCTATCGTACATCACAACACAGGTACATGCTACTGCCTGCTCTATCGTACACCTCAGAGCACAGAAACATATTACTTCCTGCTCTATCGTACACCTCACGACAGAAAAACATGTTACTACCTGCTCTTATCGAAAACCTTACAGTACAAAAACATATTACTACCTGCCGTATCGTACACCTTAAAACACGGCGACATATCACTATCTGATCTATCGTACACCTCGCAACAAAAAACATATTACTGCCTGCTCTCATGGAAAACCAAACACCAAAAAATAATATTACTACCTGCTCTATCGAACACCTCACAGCACAAAAACGTATCATTACCTGCTCTATCGTACACTCCACAACACAGAAATATTACTACCTGCTCTATCTTACACCTCACAGTACAAAAACATATTACTACCCGCTCTATCGTTAACTTCACAGTACAAAAACATATTACTACCTGTTCTATCATACACCCGACAGTACAAAAAACATATTACTACCTGCTCTATCGTACATCTCATTACAATGAATCATATTACCACCTAACCTATCGTACACCTCACAACATAGAATTATTACTACCTGCTCTATCGTACACCTTAAAACACGGCTACATATCACTACCTGCTCTATCGTACACCTCGCAACAAAAAACATATTACTGCCTGCTCTATCGTACAACTCATAATACAAAAACATATTATTACCTGCTCTATCGTACACTTCACAACACAGAAATAATACTACCTGCTCTATCGTACAACTTACAGCACAAAAACATATGACTACCTGATCTATCGTACACCTCACAGTACAAAGACATATTACTACCTGCTCTATCGTACACCTCACAATGCAAAAACATATTACTATCTGCTCTATCGTACACCTCACAACACCAAAAAACATACTACTCTTTGTTCTTATCGTAAACCCAACAACACAGAAACATATTACTACCTGCTCTATCATACACCTCACAACACAAAAACATATGACTACCTGCTCTATCGTACAACTCACAACACATAATTATTACTGCCTGCTCTATCCTACACTTCATAGCACAGAAACATATTACTACCTGCTCTATCGTAAACCTCAAAGTACAAAAACATATTAATGCCTGCTCTATCGCACACTTGACAGTACAAAAACATATTACTACCTGTTCTATTGTACAACTGACAGTACAAAAACATATTACTAGCTGCTTTATCGTTCACTTCACAGTACGAAAACATATTACCACCTGCTCTATCGTACATCTCACAGTACAAAAACATATTACTACCTGCTCTATCGTACACCTCACAGCACAAAAACATATGACTACCTGATCTATCGTACACCTCACAGTACAAAACATATTACTGCCTGTTCTATCGTACACTTCATAGTAGAAAAACAAAGTACTAGTACTACCTGCTCTCTCCTACACCTCAGAGTACAAAAGCATATTACTACCTGTTCTATCGTACACTTCACAGTACAAAAACATATTACTTCCTGTTCTATCGCACACCTCACGGTATAAAAACATATTACTACCTGCTTTATAGTACACCTAACAGTACGAAGAAATATTACTACCTGTTCTATCGTACATTTCACAGTACAAAAACATATTACTTCCTGCTCTGTCGTACAACTCACAGTACAAAAACATATTAATACCTGCTCTATCGTACACTTCACAACACAGAAATATTACTACCTGCTCTGTCGTACACTTCAAAGCACAGAAACATGACTACCTGCTCTATTTTACACCTCACAGTACAAAAACATATTACTACATGCTCTATCGTACATCACAAAACAGGAACATATTACTACCTGCCCTATCGTACACCTCACAGCAAAAAACATATGACTACCTGATCTATTGTACACCTCAGAGTACAAAACATATTACTACCTGCTCCGTCGTACACCTCAAGTATCAAAACATTATTACCTGTTTTATCGTACACATCACAGTACAAAAACGTATTACTATCTGCTCTATCGTATACTTCACATTACAAAGACATATTACTAATCGCTCTATCGTACACCTCACAATACAAAAACATATTACTACCTGTTCTATTGTACAGCTCACAGCACGAAAGCATATTACTACCTGCTCTATCGTACACCTCAGACTACAAAAACATATTACTACCTGCTCTATCGTACACCTTACAGCACAAAAACATATGACTACCTGCTCTATCGTACACATCACAGAACAAAGACATATCACTACCTGCTCTATCGTACACCTCACAACACAGAAATGTATTACTACCTGCTCTATCGTACATCTCACAGCACACAAAGATATTACTACCTGCTCTATCGTAAACCTCACAGTACAAAACATATTACTGCCTGCTATATCGTCCACCTCACAGCACAGAAAGATATTACTTCTTGCTCTATCGTACACCTCACGACAGAAAAACATGTTACTGCCTGCACTCATGGAAAACCTTACAGTACGAAAACATATTACTACCTGTTCTTTCCTACACCTGACAGTGCAAAAACATATTACTACCTGTTCTATCGCACAACTCACAGAACAAAAACATATTACTACCTGCTTTATAGTACACCTAACAGTACAAAAACATATTACTACCTGCTCTGTCGTACACCTCAAGTATCAAAACATATTATCACCTGTTTTATCGTACACATCACAGTACAAAAACATATTACTACCTGTTCTATCGTACAACTCACAGTACAAAAACATATTACAACCTGCTTTATAGTACACCTTACAGTACGAAAACATATTACAACCTGTTCTATCGTACACCTTGCAGCACAAAAACATATTAATACCTGCTCTATCGTACACTTCACAACACAGAAATATTACTACCTGCTCTGTCGTACACTTCAAAGCACAGAAACATGACTACCTGCTCTATTTTACACCTCACAGTACAAAAACATATTACTACCTGCTCTATCGTACACCTCACAGCACAGAAAGATATTACTTCTTGCTCTATCGTACACCTCACGACAGAAAAATTTGTTACTACCTGCACTCATGGAAAACCTTACAGTACAAAAACATATTACTACCTGCTCTATCGTACACCTCATAGCACAAACGCATATTACTACCTGCTCCATCGTACACCTCACAGTACAAAAACATATTACTACCTGCTCTATCGTACACCTCACAGTACAAATCAAATTACTACCTGCTCTATCGTACATCTCACAATCCAGAAAAATATAACTACTTGCTCTAACGTAGACATCGCAACAAAACCAACATGTTACTGCCCTCCTCTCATCGTAAACCTAATAACACAAAAACATATTTCTGCCTGCTCTATCGTCCACCTCACAACAAAAAATCATATTACTACCTGCTCTATCCTTCACCTCACAACACCAAAAAACATACTACTGCTTGCTCTTACCGTAAACCCAACACCACAGAAACATATTACTACTATTTCTATCGTACATCTCACAGCACAGAAAGATATTACTACCTGCTCTATCGTACACCTCACAGTACAAAAACATATTACTACCTGTTCTATCGTACACCTCACAGCATAAAAACATATTAATACTTGTTCTATCGTGCACCTCACAGTACGAAAACATATTACTACCTGCTCTATCGTACACCTCACAGTACAAAAACATATTACTACCTGCTCTATCTTACACATCACAGTACAAAGACATATCACTACCTGTTCTACCGTACACCTCACAATTCAAAGACATATTACTACCTGCTCTATCGTACACCTCACAGTACAAAAACATATTACTACCTATTCTATCGTACACCTCACAGCATAAAAACATATTAATACCTGTTCTATCGTACACCTCACAGCACAAAAACATATTACTACCTGTTCTATCGTACACTTCACAGTACAAAAACATATTACTACCTGTTCTATCGTAAATCACAAAACAGGAATATTACTACCTGCTCTATCTTAAACCTTACAGTACAAAAACATATTACTACCTGCTCTATCGTACACTTCACAGTACAAAAACATATTACTACCTGTTCTATCGTACACCGAACAGTACAAAAACATATTGATATGGTGGATCTGTTAAATTAACATTCTATTAACCGTATATTTTTTCCTCGGTGGAGATATTATGTCTATGTGATGGTTAGTGTTGTAAAAATCAAAGACAATGGAAAATACAAAGATAATCGCTTGCCAAGACCAGGTTCTCCGGAAGGGGAAGCCTGTTGTTTTTTTTATCGACGACATCCGGCATGTTAATCAAAGTAAGTGATGTCACGTTCCCAGACGAGAACCAGGCTTTTAATCAAGAAAGCATCAGGCACTCTAACGAGCATGGAACATATCTACCGTCACCAAGAAAAATAATACTTCTTATTGAGGTCATGATGGCGAAACCATAAACTTTATTCTTCATTAATCTGTATCTCTCAAGACCCTCTATGATAAGTTTGTCTGAAGCTGTCCACATTTTCCCCGGAACTCTTGATGTTGGCTAGAAGCCCTCGAATAATTACATCAACTGTAATATGTACACATCCAGGGTGATGGCATAGGTTGCTTCTCTCTAGAAATGGACAAATCGCCATAGGGAAACCGAAACCAACACGCTCATCAAACAGCTTAGCGTTCAACCTTTTGATTATATTACAGGCAAACGTAATCAAATTCAGTTTCTGTTGGCAATGTTCTGAGATATCTAAAATTTCGATCTATCAGAATGGAAATGCTTGCTTATGTTTTCATGATTATAATACAGAACAGAAAACTAGGACTCTTATATAAATAATAGTGCAATACTAAAACAATGTGTAGAGATCCACAAAACAGTAAAAGAAATGACGTCAAAAACAAGGAAAATGTAAAAGAAAAAGCCACTTCAACATATCATGTATACGATATAAAAAGTACCCGTATATATCTTGTTGTCTTAATCAAAATTTGACAAACATAAAAAGTTTCTTAGTGAACCGTCCCTAACATTGTATGTTTATGTTTACAAGGAGTGTTTTATATCTATACTTGGAAATGATTATAATGGAATAACTAAATGGTTATAAAACAAGCATGATACATGTGGTAAAAACAAAAAATTCAAAAACCAAAAAAATAATAACAAAATAATACCAACATGTCAACATAAATATAATCTGGTAATATACGTTTGGAAAACATTTTGTCCCAAACACCGCCATCTTAAATTGGTGGCGAGTACACAATCAATTAATTCAATTTCGAACCTGCATTGGTGAACATCGAGCCGAGATCGAAGTAAATCCGACTATATCGCTGAAGAATATTGTCACAGCTTCAAAGAATTCAGCTGATATCTTTTCCTTGTTTTGTAGTTGGTGAGCTACTGATTTTGGTATCATCTGATACAACAGCTCTTCTGTTACTTTCCGCTTTTCCTCGAGCTCCTGTGTTTTATCTTTGAGTTGGACGGCAAACTGGTAGAATTTATTGTTGATGGCTCTCGACTGTCGGAGAATAAAGAACATTGTTCCTGATATAAAAATACAGAGAAGGGATCGAATTATGACACGGATGATGTCAGAGTTTTCATCGCTGTCGATTTCATGGATAAATGTAGATTTCAGTGTCACTATCTCACGCTCTACGTACTCGCTTAAATGGAATACATTATAGAAATAACAAAGAAATGTAGAAGCAAACTGATTAATTTCTTCACACCGAGACGATATAGATATATTTCCAGTACTGAAGAAATTCCAGTTAGGAAATGACGGCCGTGTAACCTGAAGATCCGCTAACACAAGTAACTTAGAAGTATGATAGAATTTTGATATATCTGATACAATAGTGTTGCAGTTTTTTTCTAAACAGTAAAACGCATCAAGGAAGATAACAGTTTCGACTTGGAATAATTCTCCAATCTGGTGAAGCAAACCGAACTTAGATAATGACAAATCGTTTATAAGATGTTTAGTTTTACTTGTAACGTGTTGTTCTATACTGTGTAGAGATACCATCATATCACATATATCACACGTACTGTTGTTTGCCGGACACATGTCAAAAAGTTCACATAAATTGTGAAGGTCACCCTGTTGCGAGTTGTCTCGACATGCATTGTTAGCACTGACAAAGGATGTGACGAACTTATCATATATACCACACGACAACGAATCGTTTTGTAGGAAGTCACCAAAATTGTCCGTTAAAGAATTTGCCAGCCTAAATTTAAAGATATGAATTACATTAGATATTTGCTTGTACGCTAAATCAAATTTTACTCTCATTTCCTCAAATATGTAAATTTCGGCCAAATCTATGTAGATATCAACAATTAGTACGGCAGCAATCAGGATAAAAGCTACCATGGAGACCACGTAAATTCGTGGTACTCTAACTCTCCACTTTTTACCGTCATCAGACGAAAGTCCCTTTTCGAGATCCCAATGACCCAAACTATGTACAGATTGTGCAGGATGCACTTTGTTTTGTTTTGCAACAGACATGGCAATTTTTTTTCACTTTTAATCGATCTTTCAATGGTCTCTATTCACATTTGCAAGCCTTTTTTATTCTGGTATCGACAACATTTTATCCCTGCTACACAAAGGCGGATACGACATATATATGAATTTTCCATGCACATAATGCTGACTGACTCTTTTATGTGCTTTTCCTGCAGGAATAATTTCTTGGCGCTACTTTTTCCACTCGTTTATTTTTCATGTTAAATTTCAGAGCCACCACCTCGAATCTCTTCTTATGTTGAATTCAACCATCCATTAAATGAAAAGTCATTTTCTAAAATAGACCACTTTGTGTAGAATAATTCTTCATAAACCCATCCGTCGTATTTGGTATTGACTGAAGTTTTCCAATAAAATCCAATTTGTATTTACACACATTAAGGGTTGTGATTCTGTTGTGTTACACTTCCCCGCGTCGTTGAACGATCATCAACTAAGACAGCTAATCCTCCGCGCAACACACTGCGTGTGACACTACACAGAACACTTTGGTAGATTATAGACATTCAGTCTGCCATCGTGTTATCGACGAGGATAACATTCCGTGATCGAATCTTAATATTTGAAAGGGAAAAGCTTGATTCTATTTACTTTTACTGAGTGTATGACTTAGTACAAGGTCATGTAACAATTGTTATCGCAGGATATTTACCATGTATGCATGTTCAATGAAGCTTTTCTTAAATATCTTTAACTGTATCATTATTAGCATTTTCTTCTTTAGTCACCAGGACAAAACTCTATGTTAATCTTACTGTGGATGTAACAGTAAATCCTACCTATACTTCTTGTTATATATGTGTTACGAGGCATCGACTGCAAACACCGAAGGTCTCAAAAACTGTTACACGATTTCCGTAACAGATGTGGTAAATGAAGTGTTAGATATTAAATCTATTTAAAAATAACAAACGGCTAATTTCTCTATCGCTTCACCACTAGATACTGCTGATTCCAAATGTTAAATTTGTCAGATTTTATCATATTATATGTTTATTTAATTTGAGTGTTTCCGTAACAGAAGATCATTTGAAGACATTTCCTACCAATTATTGTCTCATCCTTCTGAAATGCTATAACCATGACATGCCAAGCCAACACAACCGGTCATATTATACATATACAGGATTTTACACTCCCTTCGTCATCCAAGTCCGATGACAATCAAACTATAGGAAATTAATACGAGAAATGTTCACAATGATTCAACAATGAACAACACAATGGTGTAAGAAACACCATTTAACTTTGTGTCATTTTTTAGGGATTATGATTTTCTTGACATAGGATATATTGCAATTTTTATTGATGTTGTATCAGCATAGTGCATATAAAAGAGATCACTGTCGTCATTCGGAAAAGTAGTGACAAACTTTAAATGTCAAAATTCAAAATGTCTGTTGAAGGGCATCTTGAATATATCTTTAATCCCAAAATATAGCATACCAGCTTATCATCTTTATGTTTCAAGGCCTGGTTAAAATATCTTCATAACTATGGTAATAAAAATCGTCTATGAAATGAACTTGCGAATTGACGACAGACAGAAAGCGACAGGGAGTGCCCGCCATTATTAGATGCCTGCTTGTCAAGGGCGTTATATTACAGCCAGGGTAATATTCGAATGAGTATCGAGACAACCACTTAACAGAAGGAAAAAACACAGAAAGATAGTCAGGAAAATAAATAGAATGTTTTTGCAAATGAGGTTACAGATCAATTTTGGTCTTCAAGGTCCCATTAGGCGAAGACAATGTAGAGAGACTCTGATTCTGGATGGTTTCTCGAAATAAATTTTCTTCTTTGATACGAATGAGACACAGCAGGCTTCTGTAGATTGCGGGCTGAAAATCGGAAAGATCGCTCAAAAATGACCCATAATGACAGGGTCGCCTCAACTTTTATTATATATTGTAAGTTCGTGTCAGTCAATTACCCTTTTTGTTTAATAACAAAAAAAATCAACTAAGAATACATGTTGTGTTCCTTGGCGGGTCAAGATGCATACGGCAAGGTATAACAATTCTAGACTAACACAACAGAAATGTTGAAAACCTCTATCCCTCAGACATGACGTTGTGTTTTCCTGAGTAAAACTATATTAGATAGATTTATTGGCTTTTTTCAACATTTTAATTTTCTGTTTTCTTCCTACGCTTTGAAACGCAGTAGATATGTACATTTTATTTGAATGTGTTTTAGCTCCTTGTTTTCGTATTTCAATTTTTTTTCAGATCTCCTCTCCTAGTTTTTGCCGAATACCTTTCAAACTTTTGGAATAGTTTCTAATATGGCTGTGGGATTTTGATTTCTTCGACAGAATATTAACTTCAATAGTTTTAGAAATGTTGGGGTCCTTTGTAATTCTAATTTTCTTTATCTTATTCAGAATTCCTTTCCCTCAGTTTCCAGATGTTCACCTATGACATGAATTTGTGCTTTCTAATTGGCACTTTAAATACACGATTATCATTCCATTTTCTATATTTTGTTCATTTTGGTAAAATTAAAAATGCTTATCACTTTGGAATTGGGTGGTTTATATTTTCCATCACTTACTACATTTTATCAATATGTCCTTACCACTTCATTTCACAATTCTAGCTTTCGATATGTCTATCGCAGTTCCAATTTCAAGGCAACGATATTTATAGGGTATATTTGTACAGAGTTTAAATCTTAATTAAATCACTTACTATCAGCTAGGAGATACATTCTACTTGGTCGATAAATCTTCCACTCCTTTATAAGGTGGTGTTCACTAATTGAAATCAGAAGGCATGTAGGCCTTTAATAATCGATACTAGACTTGAATAACATCGCCACAAATTGTCATTACTGTATCCAATACAGATTGATTTATTTAATGGCAGCAACCTACCAATAACAACTTGTTGTCAATGTTTTCAGGAATTCAAACCTTAGTCACCTCCTTGGTTTCAATATGCCAAGATTTTAGATTCATTTACGGAGAGAAGGACGAAACAGCTGTAATAAACTTTGGGACTACTGCATCTAATTGTAAATGTGCATAGTAATATGTTATTCTCTTGTGTTCTTTATATCTTACTATCCCTTTCCTTTGATAATACATTGCTTTGCTTAATAGCGAAGACAGCTTGTATTTGTTGTGATCAAGGCAAATCAACAACAACATGGATCTTGATGTATCCTATTTGATATTTATTTCTATAGGGACAAGTTCCGAATATTTTAATCTAATAGCAAATTCTAATATAAAATGCTAGTCCAATACTGCTGATAAACAATTGCAATCAGAAGTCAATGTAACTAAACGGCAGCAATTGTACTGTGACCTACCAAAGGGACCCGAGAGTTAATTGCATTATGTGATTATGGACAATTGTTCTTTGTAGTTACGGTTGCTGGCCCAGATTTCGCTATCATGTTTACGATCTTACCGCGAGAAATGCACAGATCGCAATAGACGAATCAGATACAAGGTTTAGAATATCGCATATGTCGTTTGGAGTAAACTTTGTCAGTACCTGGCAGATTTTAACTTCATGACTTGACGAATTATAAAAACTCTTAATAAACTAGAATTAACTTGTCTGTAAAATATAGCCGATTGGTGTATCATGCCCTTTTAGTGTGACGAGACAATTGAACGTCATTGAGTCGTTAAGTTATCAATTGACACAAGTCTTCTCTTCATGTGTTCATATCTGTTGTAAGATATAAACATCCCTAACCAACCTCTTAGGTTTTGCTGCCTAAAAATTCGTACGTATGTGCGCTGTGTGCCGATATAGCATTTGAAGCCAGGGAAACTTCGCGTTTTGGTAGATATTGCTCGAGGTAGCAATTTTGACGATCTGTTTAAGGTAACATAGGACATTAATATCGAGATCTTTCTTCGGATGATTAGTATTTATATACAACTCCTTGAAAACACCTGATTGTTTTTTCGAAGGATAAAATACTCTGCATGGATTATCTGTCTGTTTATGTTGATTCCTGTTGTACATCACTGACATTCGTCATACCTATCTTTGAATGGTAAAGGTATTTGTTCACTAAAGTATATCGATAAAAAATGGACGTTATGGAGAGACATTGACAAGAGAGTAAATTCATCTGAAGTTGTCAGTTAGTTTATTTCAAACGGAGATTGATTTTATCTAGTTGTGATGAAGTTGATCCCTGGATTAAAAGTATCACCTTTCGTTACGATTAATTGTATCGTCTTTGTCGACATTCTGCCATCACTACCAAAGCCAGCTGAAAAGGAGTCCATCAGAATGTAAAGGTTATCAACATCGTTTATCCACGTGTAATTTCGAGGACACCTTTTAGTATGTCGCTATAATGAATTTCTCCAATGTCAATGTCAATCATCTGCCACAACCAGAAATATGGTAGCCATCTTTGGACAAGCTTTAGAATTTATGAGTATATCAGGGACTACATCACGAAAAGTATCCAATCAAAATATGCGTTACATAAACATTCTTTTAGAATGGGGATTAAACGATAAAAATCGAGAGACGTAAACATCGATTTTGTTGGTGATAATTAATGAGGAATTCAAACAGAGAATGTATACGTTGTGTATATATCGTCATTTGGCTATATTAACATATCATTGTTAAAAGCAAAAAACCTAAAAACAAAAACAAAAAAACAAAAAACTAAAAATGCCCGGACTACTTATTGAATATTTCATTGAACATCTATTCACTATTCATACGCGCATCAAGCGGAATTAACCTGATAAATAATATTAAATAGCTGCAGAGCATTTATCTCATATCATTGATAGATTCTTTTTTTTTTCTGCTAAGACATCATTTTCGTTTCATAGACCAGCATTTATCAAATATAGATACTTTTATATCATATTGCCGGATACGATTACGTTAATGATAATGATAAAACTACATGATATAGTTTGTCAGCATTCCTTCCCATTTTGTACATCTTAATGAACTCAAATTACACAAAAGGTAGCGTGA